CGTTACTCGCTGCTAGGTTCGGCAAGCGGACACTTTTCATGGTTGCCGTCCTAATTCCTAGCTTGTTAGGCGCTTGCATGCTTGCGTTCTTGGATAATACTCACCCAGCGGCAAAACTTGCTGGAAACTACCTAACACATTGTAATAACGCATTTCTCCCACTTACATATTCCATTATTACTGCCAACTACGCGGGCCATACAAAGAAAGTGACGATGAATGCTATCATCTTGATGGCGTTTTGTCTGGGAAACATATTAGGCCCTCTCACCTTCAAGGACGAGGATGCCCCCGAGTACGTGCCAGCAAAACTTAGTATTGTGGTAACCATGTCAATCACAATAGTTTCAATCTTCTTCTTGAGGTTCTATTACATATATGAGAACAAGAGGAGAGACAGGAAGTTGGAAGAAGGACAAGTGCAACCCGCTGCAGATTTCCTTGATATCACTGACCGGGAGAACCTGTCATTTCGCGTGAGTTATGCCTCTTCCATCTCGTCTGTGCTTCTAAACACTAACATGATCTTTCTAGTACGTATATTGAACATGGTCTCTTGTTCTCAATGTCCAAGGCGGGCCAAGACTATGCATTTGTTGATCTACTGTTATATAAATGATGTATTTGGACGATAGGAGAATATCATGCAGGTTACACATGTATAGATTCTATGAGAGAAAAGGAGCAATTGGCTAAAAATCATATATCACTTTGAATCAGCTTCTATTTAAGGAATTCCCGGAAAGACATCATGTTCAAGAAAGCCAAGTTTCTATCTTCTACTGAGCTAGGTAGCCTCCATCCACGGCAATGGTGTGGCCAGTGACAAAGCTGGCCTCGTCTGATGCAAGAAACACTGCAACACTGGCTACCTCCTCCACTCTAGCAAACCGGTATTCAAATGGCTGTTTGCCTGCAAAGGAAGCACGTATGCCTTGTACGTTCGGATCTTCGCTATCATGGGGAGTCAGGTCTTCCAGCAATGGAGTCTGCACAAAGCCAGGCGCTATAGCATTCACATGGCTGTATATTTACCCGAGTTAGCCGGAGAAACAATAGCTATTGTTAATTCGGGGGTATTAGTCTTCTCACATTCTTTCAGCCCCGTATTCCAGGGCAACTGCTCTAGTGAGGTTAACGACAGCTCCTTTGGAGGCAGAATATGCACTACCACACTGTATTCCAACTAAGCCCATTACTGATGCAGTATTGACAATCCAGCCCCTATCGCCGGTGGAGGGCGGCTCCTGAGCAAGCATCTGAGCAGCTGCATATTCTTCATGCGGGGTGATTAATGCGTATCAATATATGAGGACCCATTGGGGCATGGATAGGAACCGGTTGTAAATACTCACTACACCCTAGCCAGACACCTTTTCCATTCACCCCCATAATCCTATCCCAGGAGTACTCGGGAGTTTCATGCAGCCTTAGAGCTGGATCATGGCTATAGTTGGGCCCGATACCAGCGTTATTCATCATACTGTATGTATGTTAGATTCTAATAGGAGAAACTAAAAGGGTAGACACGCATACATATCTAGCCTTCCAAATTCCTTCACACAGGCACTCACCAGGGCCTTCACGTCGGCATCAATAGAAACATCTGTCTTAATAAATATCGATCTACGTGAGAAAGATCTTCCAGATGAAGCTGGATACTTCTCGTCCAGAACTTCGTGAGTTGGTTTCAACTCTTCTCCGTCCTTCGTTTTTGTAGTGAATTAATAATGGCTGTATTAATATAAATAGGTAGCAGCAGATACATTGAATCAACAAAAGCTACCTCTTGATTCCGGCGTCAAGTCAGCACATACTACGTATGCTCCCTCGGCAGCGTATCGAAGAGCGATTGCACGACCGATTCCGTCGGAAGAGCCAGTGATTATGGCTATCTTGTCCTGAAGACGAGTGCCGGTGGTCATTTTGGCAGGTCAATTGGTCAGAGAGGGTATTTACTCTGCGTCGTTAGTTCAAACAGGTTTGACTAAGGGCTTGTTCGTGCAAATGAACCAAGAAGAAACAGTTTCATATAGCAAAGATATTCGGTGAGACTTGTTTTTCCATGACGAACGGTGCTGCGCACATATATATAATCATCCTGGCGGCTGGCTGCGGGGCATTGGCTTGTTAATCTCGTATAAACTTGACCAAGGGTGATAGAGTCTAGGTACGCTGCGTGTTGAAAGGCACCATGATGACAACTGAAATAAAAGAAACCGGCAATCGTTACATTTAAAACAGCCAGAGAAAAAACACACAGGAGGCGGGGCGAAGGGGATAAGATTATTCGTAGAAATACAATTGTTAGAATCCAAATTTCAAGCCCATTACCTCGTTAGAGTCCCCTTCAATCAGCCCAAGAATCGTCCATTTCGGCCACGTCATAGTCAACTTCATGAGCTGGCTCCTTTTCCGGTGCAGGCGCAGCTGTGGCATTGCTGTCTGTCATAGAGACATCTTCACTCGCTTTCAGGGCGGATGCAGCAGCACCAGGCGGCTGCGTTGAGGACACCGGAGCGTTGGCAACCCAAGCGAACTCAACTTTACCAACGGATGGAATATCAGAGGGGCCATGGACCAGCTTTTCAGCTACATAACGGTCCTTGAAGGAGACTATCAAAGCTCCTGGGCGATCTGGGCTGGGATCAATGCTCTCATATTCTCCGATTCCCTGTAAATTAATTGATTAGAAGATTTTCAAATGACAATTCGTGAAAAGTACAGTGCTTACCAAAAGATATTGCCGCAGAGCCTCATCACGGTTGGTATCAAATTCTACCCCCGAAATTGCGACCTTTTTAGGACGGTTATCCAGGCGAATCACGCCTCCCCGGCCACGGAATACTCCACGGCCTCTGGATCCTCGAAATGAAGGGTCAAAACCGCGGGCTCGAGGTGCGAAACCACCTCTTCCACGGAAGCCGGCATAGCCTCGACCACGACCACGGCCAAACGGAGATTCTGGCTGAGCGTTAGGATCGATACCCATACTCTTAGCTTCTGCCTCGAGAGATGCAAGCTGGGCTCGAAGGGAGGCAGTCTTGTCATTCGCTGAAACTCCTGATTCGGGTGAAGCCGTATCTTTGCCAGCGCCCTTGGCTTCTAGCTTCTGCAATAATTTGGCTTGTTCCTCTTTGTGGCGTTTCAGCAGCTCTTCTGTCTTCTTCTTGTGCTCCAAAATTGCTTCTTCGGTCTCTTTTCGTTTCCTGACTTTTTCTTCATGAGCCTTCTGAGCCTCTGCCTGCTGCTTCTCAAACGCTTCCATGTCGAATGATGGCTCATCAGCTGAGGTCTTCTTAAAGCCGTTGCTGTCGCCTCTCGACTCTGTGGGTTTATACCAGTAGACTTTTACAAATCTGTTGTCAAAGATGACCTTCGGGCTCGACCACGCACGATGCGCTGCATCGTAGGAGTCGTATTTGACAAGCGCTAGATGTTTATACGGCTTCATGGTAATCTCTGTAATCTCGCCAAATTCAGAAAAAAATTCCCGAACAGTAGCCTCGTCGAATTTATCTTCTGGAATCTGTTCAACGACAATCGTTGTGATTCTCCTGTCATCGTTAGGGCCGGCGTGCGAGAATTCAGCCCGGTTACGGCGCTGTGAGCCATGGCCTCCTCTGTCGTTACGACCACGGCCTCGTCCTCTGCCTCGATCCCCACGCCCACTAGTGCCATGTCCATTGGCACCATTCGCTGAATGTCCGGACACGATATTGGAATTTGTAGGATCGTACTCTATAGTAAGTACGTTAGCCGAAACTGAACACAAAGATAGAATGAACATTATATCATACCGTCGTCTTTTGATAGGGCCTGTCCATGTTGATAGGGACAGGTACTCCCCAGAACACAGAACCCCATATTATCATAATTCTTGCATCTCTCGGCAATCTTATTAGGAGGTGAGCCAGAAGGTTGGGGTTGCCCATTAAGAGACGGAAGTGGTGGCATTGGTGGCATCCCTGGAATTTGAGGGAAATTAATTCCAGACATGCTTAACATCTGCGCTATGGGATCGTTAGGATTGAACGGCGGGAAACCAGGCTGTGGGGTACCAGGACCACCACGAAATCCACCTGGCATGTTCGGTGAATACCTTTGACCATGCGGACTTGGATTTTGCCGGCTATCCCATCCTGGTCTGCCACGTCGACCACGAGCAGATTTGTGCGGCCTATCCGCATTTCTCTGGTAAGGGCTCTGATCATCCCCCTGGGAATCATTAAATGTTCGTTTTCGCGCATTAAACTGTTGGTCATTATTATCAAACGGAGCCGAACCCTGCTGTCCCATGGCCCCTTGCTGAGCTTGCGCAAATTGAGTCATCATATCTGCACTTGGAGGATGTTGGCCGAAAGAAGAATTTTGGATGGGAGAAGACATATCGGCCTGTTGGGTGTTGGAAGGCAGGGCTTGTTGCTCAGGTCTGGGGTGAAACTTCTCAAAGATCTCATCGACAAAGGGGACGGTGTCTAGGAACAAACCAACTCATTAGCTGCTGATATACAGTCAGCGAGGATATAATGAGAACACAAGCCACTTACTCTCTTTCAAAAAGTCTTCGAGATTCTCCACTGACGCTTTCCTTATCTCATCGTCCGGGGCATCCGTAGAAATCAAGGCAAGAACATAGTCGGCCAATACTTCCGAATCTGCATCGGAGCTATTGAAGATATACAAATCTCTCGTTAGCAATTCTGACCTTTATAATATAATGAGACCTCATTTCAAACAGATAAAAAGAAAGAACGAGGAGTGAATAGAAGCAATTCTTCGAGAGCCGCCGCTAGTAATGCTATTACACAGAGAACAACCCAAAACTTGAAGTCCCCAATATGCAGTACTATAATATATCATCCCGGTGACACATACATATCTTCAAGTTTCTTCACAACCCAAGATTTGACCTCCGCGGCCTTCTCTTCAGTGAACTGCATCGTTGCACCCCTCTAAGTCACGCGCATTAAATCTGTTTTCGCGTCTGATGGTATCTTGTATACGCTCTTCAATGTCCTATTATGCGCTTAAAGGTTCGAAGTACGGCGTAATGAGGTGGAGATGCGTTGGTCGGTTGATTCTGTTGTAATGAGGTATCTCGTGCAAAGGTCCGGCTTCAAGCTATCGCCTTACGATCGTATATTAATCTTCTCTGAAACAAACAGTTGAATAATCGGTTAAACTGGAGCTTCCAGGTAAATGCAGACAAAGGCGGAATGCGTAAGATATCGACGGTCGTCTCGTCGTTCCGCTGCAAGTTCGCTTCATGTCATATATACCACATTTTCTTGTCGACGCAAAAAAGCAACCGCGCGCAAAAAAAGAGCGCTCTGATAGATTACATAATACAGTCCAATTTAGCGCGTTTTCTCACGTGATATAAGGTTTTGACTAAGCTATGTAAAAGTCGACGACATTAAAACAATTGACGTCTACAGGAGGGATTGAGGTTCGCTGACAACTCCTGTGTATTCTCTGTGTGGGTGTTATGAATAATTTAAGATACACAAAAGGGGTTCATCAACTTAAAAAAAAAAGTCAAAACATTTAACATTACAAAGGAAAAGTGACACATGGATCATTCATAACTCTCGGTCACAACTTTGGGATATAGGTCATCTCAAGGGTGATGGGAGACAAATCGAAATGCCTGACGCAAACGGGGGGTATGAAGAGGTTGTGGAGCGAGAGAGGCAGTCCTTTTTAACTTTTATTTTTAAACCCGTTCCTTTCTTTCTCGTTTCACGCATGCCGCCGGGGAATGAAAGGCTCTTGAGCACATGCTGGCCAATTTGGATCGTTGCTAAAGTGGTATTTTGAAAAAGGTCGCATAGGCTTCTCGGCATTGTGTTCTAAATACACAAGAGCGCTCTAAACATATCTTTGCGAGAAGGCGTTTACAATTTGTCGTAGTACTATGGCATTGGATTAGTGACTGTTTTCATTGCTAATTCACGGGGAATGAAAAAAATAACTTACGTTGGTGTAGTCTGGAACGGTCTCCTTGATACCCTTGCGCTTTCGCATTTCGGTGACAATTTGACCAGGCTTGGTGGTTGGGTCGAGGGCAGAGCCACCGGGGAGGAGCTGCCAATGGTCGAAGACGGACTGGGGGAAAGCCTGACCACCAGTGGCAGAGCGGAGATCGGCAGGGAAACCGAAGGACTCGTTGACAGGGAGGTAAGCCTTGATGGTGAAGAGAGGAGTACCGGGACGCTGCTCTTCGGCGAAGACGTGACCACGTCGTCGAGTGAGGACACCATAGATACCACCCATGGCCTGCTCTGGGACTTGGATTTCGACCAAGAAGACGGGTTCGAGGATACCGGGGTCAGCCAAGAGGGTAGCGGCCAACAGGACTCGACGGGCAGTACCGATGATCTGACCGCCACCACGGTGAATGGCATCGGGGTGAAGGGTGACGTCCTGGATGTTGAAGCGAATAGCTCTCATTGGCTCTTCAGCAACTGGACCTTCGCGGGTAGCCCACTGGAAACCAGAGACGAAAGAATCCTTGATTTCGTTGAGGTACTGGACGGCCTTGGTCTGGTCAACAAGGACGTTGGCACCAGAGGTGTCTGGACCGAAACACCAGATCTTACGGGCATCAGTGACATCCCATTCGTACTCATCAGCGAGAAGACGGGCACGAGTCTTGATATCGTCGCGGGGAGAGATCTTTCCTGCCTCAATAGCGAGAGAAACCTCCTCACCCAATGGCTGAGCAGTGACGTAGAGACGGTTGTGCTTGTTCTGAGACTTGGACAAGGCAACCATGCTGGACTCGGAGCCGACGGTCTCACGATAGGCAACGACGGGGTCAGAGATACGGAGAGGAACACCAGCGTGATCTTCCTCAAGATCCTTCAAGCAAATTTCCAAATGAAGTTCACCAGCACCGGCAACAACGTGCTCACCAGACTCGTTAATCATGGTCAAGACACAAGGGTCAGACTTGGAGAGACGCTTGAGACCTTCGACAAGCTTGGGCAGATCGTTGGCGTTCTTGACCTCGACGGATCGCTGGACGACGGGAGAGACGGAGAACTTCATGACCTTCAAGTTGTGGGCGGTTTCACTGGTGGTGAGGGTACCAGACTTGAGCAAGAACTGGTCGACACCAACGAGACCGACGATGTTACCAGCTGGGACATCCTCAATGGGCTCGACGAAACGGCCCATCATGAGAATGGTACGCTGGATAGCCTTGATGAAGAGATCATCCTTCTTTCCAGGAGTGTAGTTAGGACCCTGGATACGGACCTTAAGACCGGAGCGGACGGTACCAGAGAAGACACGACCGAAAGCATAAAAACGTCCCTTATCGGAGGTTGGCACCATCTTAGAGACGTAAAGCATAAGAGGACCCTTGGGGTCGCAGTCACGGACACCAATGCAGGCCTCGTCATCAGTTGGACCTTCGTACAAGGTTTCGGCACGGTACTTCTGGGCAGTAACGGGAGATGGGAGGTTGAGGACCATCATCTCAAGAAGAGCGTCGGCAGCGGGAAGGAACTTTCTCATGATAATCTTGAGCAATGGCTTGCCCTCAAGGTCACGCTCCTCAGAGGTAAGCTTAATCTCAAGTTTCTCAACGAGGGTGGCGATCTCGTCCTTCTTGGAGTGAGTGATGGCGTTGAAAATCTTGAAGATGGGGTCCAGAATGAACTGGTTGAAAGAACGCTCGAGGGTCTTGCCCTCATACTCGCTGTTCTTGGTCCACTTCTTGGTCTTTGGGTTGAAGTAGTTGTCTCCCTATGGAACACCATTAATATACAAATAGACTCAATTTGGGGAGAAATGGCAAGAAAGAAAGATGAGAATGGCATTTAGCTTACCCAAAGTCTGTCCATCATCTTATTTCTGTCAACACCGAATTTCTTGGCATATTTGACAGCGAACTGGCGGATAGTGAAAGCCCATCCGTGAAGACCAGATCCGAAAGCAACGGTACCCTTCTCTGGGTAGACCTGGACGTCACCGAGAGCCTTGTCAAGGTAGGTGGAGATGATGACGTTGACGGACTCGACGGTTCGGGAGAAAGATTGGTATAGATCTTCCTTGGATACCTGGAGCTCAAGAAGAGCACGGTCGACCTTGTTGATGATACAAACTGGCTTGATACGCTCGGAAAGAGCCTGTCGCAAGACGGTCTCGGTCTGGACACAGACACCAGAAACACAGTCAACGACGACAAGGGCACCGTCAGTGACACGGAGGGCAGCAGTGACTTCGGAAGAGAAATCGACGTGACCGGGAGAGTCAATCAAGTTAATCAAGAACTCGTTACCCTCGACCTTCTGGGGGATATCCTTAAGGTCATCCTCATCAACGAGCTTGGCGTAAAGAGAGATGGCAGTGGACTTGATGGTAATACATCTGTCCTGCTCGTCCTGACGGGTATCTGTGAAACGAGCTTCTCCAGCTTTGGCGGCCGAAATGATACCAGCACGCTGGACCAAAGAATCGGTAAGAGTAGACTTTCCGTGATCGACTGCAGTGGTGCAGGAGTTAGCCGAAGTTCAAAAAAAAAAAAAAAAAAACACAACAGGGAGGGATCAATACCGTGAGCAATAACACACATGTTACGGATGTTAGCAGGACGGTCCATCAATTGACGGATCTACACGCGCATTAAGTTAGTCTGGCATGTCTCGAGATACCCTTTACGTCCTTCCTGTCTTCAGGGATGAGCTGCATACCTCCTCGATGGTGAAGCTGTTCCATGCCAAATCGCATTAGTAATGTGTCCTTTTACACAAAAACATCGACGAAAAAAAAAATACAAAAAAAAAAAAAAAAAAAGAAAAAAAAAAAGAAATAACAGAGCTGCGAGAACAGAAGACGATGCTTCTATCGAGGTAATCTCGTTCCTCACAAGCCACGGTAGGTCCAGATACGACTTACTTGACCATCTTGGCGGTTGTTTTGGAGAGAAATGCCTTCGAGGCGGGGTGTCTTTTCTGTCAGCGGCGGGTGGCTTTGTGGCTTGATATTTATCAGGATCGAGAATAACTCGACCTGATCAAGCAACGTAGAGGGTAAGAGACTCGCAGAACAGAGGTGAGAGTCGATGGGTGGTGGTGATGAGTGAAGACACCAGGGCGGGAGTTGGTGAAGAAGAGAGGAAGAGGAGGAGGAAGAAGAAGAAGAGATGAAGAGAATTTTTTTTTTCCGTCTCGCGCGCGGAAAAGAGAGAATGGCGGGGCTTGTGCGGTTTCTGCCAGCGGGCAAGGGCGGTAACCCAGAAGGGGAAGATAAAAGGCTCGTCAGGTGACGGGTCACGTGTCCCACATTCTGCTACTTCTGCTCCTGCTACCCCTCTCCCCCTTTGTATTTAGTAACGAATAATATAGATTTAAATATATATATATACCATAATCTTCCTAGTTATTAAGCTCTTCTTATAGTCTATTTATTCCTCTTTACTAACTAGCCACGATCCTAGTACTATTTTAAGCCCCCTAGATTAAGAATTTACGCGAGATAATATAGCGCCTATAGTATCCCGTGCTTTATAGGAAGCTACTATTTAAGTATTAGTAGACCGTATCGAATCCCTAGAATAATAACTCTAGTAGTAATATGTCCTAGTAATAGTATCTTAGTAAATACTCTAAGCCGAGATTATTAAGAAGCCGAGTAAAGTTAAGCCTAATGAGTCTAATATATATAATAGCTCTATAGATATTTAATTTTAACTTATAAATATTAATAACTAACTACGCGAGCGTCTAATTACTAGGGATACCTCCTAAGTTACTTATATAATTAGTTACTTATCTTCTACTCTAAAATAGAGGGTCTAATATCTTTAATTTAAGAAGGACCCTTATATTGCGTTTTAGCTAATCCTTAAAGTCTAGCTATAGGATAACTACGTAATCCCTAATTCTACTCTAAATATAGAACTTAAACTTAAAAAGTTAAAGATATATCTTAAAGAATTCGCCCTCTCTTTTATTATATAATTCGAGACCTTTATTATTAACTTTTTATAGAATAATCTAGTAATCTACTCTATATTCTATTTAAAACTCTCTCCCTATCTACTAAACTAGATTACTTATATCTACTTTAATAGGTAGCCGAAGATATTCGCTATTTAGAAAGTAGTAACTCTTAAAGTGGAGTAGTATCTTAAACTTACTAACTAGCTTAACTTCTAAATAAAGCTAACTTTTTTAGTTTAGAAAGTCCGTTTTACTATATATTCCTAATACTTTAAGATATAATCTTTAAAAACTTACTATAATCTAAATATCTCTAAAAATAAATACTAGAGACGTAGATATAATAATCTATATACTTAATATAGAGAGTCTAGCTATTAGTATACTATCTATAATAAATACCTAAATTCTACTTATAATTCCTACTTCTATAATAATATATCTCGTAGCTACTCGCGCTTCCCCTCCTATAATAGTAACTATACCCCCCTTCCTAACCCTTTACCCTCCCCTCCCTATAGACCTACTATATCTCCCTAAACTTATTCTTATACTATTACTCCCGCCCTTAAATCTCCTAAATCCCCTAAGTTAAAAAACTAGGCCTATCTTATATTAAGACTACGAGGCGTAATTAATTAAAACTCTCTATAACTTTTACCTACTATTATTTTTATAAACTCTCTATTAACTCTATTATATATACTTTTCCTATTATTACTAATCGCAAACCCTCTTATTATTTCCTTCCTTCTATAATTAACTCTGGCTCTATATATAATTTTATTAATCTATCTACTATTATTTCCCTTAATATAGAATATATACCCTATAATATTTCCCCTATAATAGATATCTCTAGTAGTATAATGTACCCTAAATAAATCTATATATTTAAACTTCCTACTATTAGCTTTAATAGTAAATTTAGAGATTACTATTTTTAGCCTATATATATACTATTTCCTATTATCCTAAGTATACTATAGTTTAAAATAAAAAACCCTCTAATCACCGACTGGTCTTATCCTACCCTAAAATCCCCCTATACCTTAGATACTTATTTTTAATTACTCCCCTCTTTTCCCCTTATAAATATATTCCCTTTTAATATTTCGGGAGATAACTCCTATTATATCCTCTTTATTTCTATTATTACTTAGCTATATTATAGTACTATTAATAAGCCACCACCTATAGATATTCCTCTCTAGCTACTAGAGTATCGAGATATATTTAATAAAACTAAAGTATATAAACTACTCCCTCTACGCAGCCCTCTAATTAATCTTAAAATAAATTTCTACTAGGATATATCTATCTCTAATCCTTCTCTATATAATATATTAGAAAAGGAACTTACTATTTTATAATAATTTCTCTAGTAGAAGTAGATTTAAGGCTTTATCTAACCCTCGAAGCTATATATTATCTCTCTAGTTATATTTATTATAAAAAAAGATAATATCTAGTATTTCTATATTAACTACCGTAAAGTTAACGTAGCTACTATTAAGAACTACTATACTATCCCCTTAATCTCTTAACTTATTAATTACTTCTATAGAGTTTACTAATTTACTAAATTAGATCTTATATATACTTACTATCTTATTTATATTACTATAGGCTATAAGTATAAAATAGCTTTTAAGATAAGATATAGTAACTTCGAATTTTTAATTATCCTTTTTAGTCTTATTAATACTCTAGCTTACTTCTAATAATATATTAATACTACTTTAGGGGACCTTATTAACTCCTTTATTATTATACATTTAGATAATATTATTATTTACTTCAAACACTCTAATTATAACTACTATTAATATTATATTAAATAAGTTCTTTAAAAATTATATAATGCCTATTTAATCTATAATTTATAGAAGTATTATTTTTATATCTCTTAAGTTAATTTTATTAGTTATATCTTAAGTTATAATAATATATATATAGATCCCAAATATATAGATACTATTATTACTTAGCCTACTTTAAAATTTATTAAGAATATTTATAAGTTTCTTAGATTTTATAACTTCTATTAATACTTTATTTATTAATATAGTAAAGTTACCCTCCTTCTTATAGACTTACTTAAGTAACTCTAGGATTTTACTTAGAATAAATACACTTAGTAAAGCTTTAATAATCTAAAAATAGTCTTCTAGTATATTCCCCTTTTTATTTTCTATAATTTAGCTAAATAAAATACTATATATTATAATACTAGTAGTTATGCCGTTACCGCTATTCTTATTTAAACTTAGGATAACTTTTATTTCTATCCTATAGTATTCTATAGTTATAAGATAATAACGATAGAAAGGAATTATAGTATATATAATTATAAGCTACTTATAATTATAGATATAATTAAGTACTAGTACTATTTTATCTATAAAGTATTCTAATCTACTCTTATTTTTATAAATTATAATAATCTTAAACCCTTTCTTAAAATAAAAATTCTAACGCGTTATTAAGTACGTTAAGCGTAGTATCTAAGTAAGTTTAATATATATATCTTATATTATTTTAAAAAGTCTAACCCCGCTAATAGCCCCTCTAGGAGATCTAATTATTATCTATACTTAAAAGAAATATCGAAACTAGAGAATTCTCTAAAATAGTTAATCTTTAAAGAAAGAGCTATAATTTAAAACCTCGTAGTAGCTACAATCGCCTTTTTAATAGATTAAAGCCCCCCCCCTTATAACTTAGTTTAAAATATAAAAACTAAAGGTTCCCTATATATTATTGTTACTAACTTATATAGTTTAGAAAATAATCTAGAATCTACCCTAATTAATATACTAACTATTCTTAATAAGATTAGGACTACTATACTATAGGATATATATATCTATATTAATAATCAGAACCCCGAAGATTAGATTATTAATAATAGTCTCCTCTTTTATAAGAATCATCTCTATATTTTTAAGAACTTTATTCTTCGCTAATAGATACTATAAATTATCTATAACTCTCCCTCTACTAGCTACTTTAAAATAAGATATACTTAAGAACTTACTTTTAGATAGCTCTATTAGCCTTTACTACGTAAGGATATTCTGCGATATATCCTTATCTATAATATTTACTAGTAATCTAAACCCATCTTCTATACTCCTTTTAGTATTATTACCTCTATCCTAATTCTAAAGGCCCCTTAGTAAACTATTATTATTAACTTTATTCTCAACCTTCCTCTCTCTAGATTTACTATAGATAATCTTACTTATAATTATATTATAGTAGTAGTTAATAAATTCTTAAAGATAATTTATTATACTCTAATTATTAAAGATATCTCCGCGTTATAGCTTATCTATATTATTTTAAGAGACGTTATCTACCTATATAGTATCCTTAAAGCTATTATCTCTAACTATAATCACCTATTTATATTATACTTCTAGAGATACTTATTCTTACTTCTAAAATATAATTACTATTTTAGTACTATAGCTTACCCGGAGATAAATAGATAAATAAAATACTAAAATAGAATAATAGAAGTTTATCTATATACTTTTACTAACTACTTATAGAATAATTAGTTAGACTTATTACTATTAATAGAGTTCTTATTTAATAACTCCGTCTACTTTACTACTAAGAATACTCTATTCTATATTAATAATAGTTATTACCTACCCCTCTCGGAGTTTATAGATCTACTATCTACTAAGTACCAATATTTAGATACTAAAGTAAAGAAACTTATAGATAATATAAAAGATATATATTAGTAGACTAAGCTAAACTTATTATATATCTAAGACTTTATATAATAATACTTTAGATCTAAATTATATAACTTCTATAAGGGTGATTCTATCTAGCTTAATATATATAATATTAAAACTCGCTACCCTAATAAGAAACTTAATTTTAAATTTCTAGAACTATTTATAATTTATACTAAGATTAGATTCTAAATATATAAGCTT